AAAGGGTACAAATAAGAACATGGCTACATAATACTTGTTAGTTTATAACTAAAGGGTACAAATAAGAACATGGCTATATAATACCTGTTAGTTTATAACTAAAGGGTACAAATAAGAACATGGCTACATAATACTTGTTAGTTTATAACTAAAGGGTATAAACAAGAACATGCCTATGTAATACCTGTTACTTTATAACTAAAGGGTACAAATACGGGTTCAGTAATTACAGTACAACTAAAGACACTTTCGTATTTGATTTTTAGCTGTTTAGATATCCAGTTCAATTAAAGAATGTCTTTGAAAGTACAAATTCTACAAATTTCTAAAACATTAGTCACCCATAGAATATCATTGTATTAGTGTTGCATTCAGTAGAAAGAGAGTTAAAAGATACATAGATAATTTAAATCTGTTTTCAGGATAGTATATCAAACTATATATGTCAGTTACGTTTGGTGTCAACTAAAAATTGTAATACATTGTTAAGTGTTTGTGTGTAGTATCATATACTGCATCAATCCATTGTTAAGTGTTTGTGTGTACTATCATGTACTGTATTAATCCATTTTTAAGTGTTTGTGTGTACTATCATATACTACTGATCATTTTATATATGATACAATGTATAATTTAGGGCTAACGCACGTCCTCTTTAAACTAGAAACTCCACTTAAAAATGGATTAATACAGTATATGATAGTACACACAAATACTTAACAATGGATTGATACAGTATATGATAGTACACACAAACACTTAACAATGGATTAATACAGTATATGATAGTACACACAAACACTTAACAATGGATTGATGCAGTATATGATAGTACACACAAACACTTAACAATGGATTGATGCAGTATATGATAGTACACACAAACACTTAACAATGGATTGATATAGTATAAGATAGTACACACAAACACTTAATGGATTGATGCAGTATATGATAGTACACACAAACACTTAACAATGGATTGATGCAGTATATGATAGTACACACAAACACTTAACAATGGATTGATATAGTATATGATAGTACACACAAACACTTAACAATGGATTAATACGTCTTTATTATACAAATGCGCAGAAAGCAAATGTTAAATCTAAAGTCAACATGCCCTGATCCAAAAAAAATGTTATGGATGATGACTTATTTAGGTGAATGTTAAAATATATTACTTTGAATTGAAATATTCATAGCAGACGTGTAAATTATCCAATCCAACATATGATTGTTATGATTAGTTTATAATCACGGTCCAATAACTGTTCTCTACAAACAAGTTGCTTTGGGAGTGTGTGTGTGAGAGAGAGTTTGATTTATTTTGGTGTAAAAAAGCAACAAAATTATCCTTACATGTACTTGAAGAGATGTTTAAGTTACAGAAACTCAGTATTCTCTTCCTGTTAAAATTCTGTTCACAAAATGGTACTGCCATTATTCACTTTTGACTTGTAAAAATACAATGATTTCCAATTCATGTGAGAATTTATATATCAACAACCCCCTATTATTTACTTTAACTCTGTACAGAGTGTAGAGAATCCATTATTAAATGCTCAATTCTAGATCTGTTATTACGTGAAGGACTACAGCTGTAGATTTTTATGTAGCATAACCTTTTACATCATCCTAGCCAGCAGTAAAAATAAATATGTTAACAAGAAGTAATTTGGAGGTCTACTTGACTGTTACCAGTTGGATCATCACATAGTTGATTAGGTCAAAGTTGAAAACTCCTCCTTGAAACAGGAAACGTTTCTGCAGACAGGCTTCTGTGCTCACTAAGTCAGATTAGGTGTTCTGACCAGTTGCAATATTTAGTAACAAGTTATGTTAATTGCTGAGCTGGTATAACTTGAACCAATCAATTTTTTAAAGTGTATTTTTCTTAAACGGTTCCTTAACAGCTTGTGAGTTTTAAACAAATATTCAGTATTTGAATTTATCACACTAATTACTTTTCTAATCCATGATGCCTAGAATATAAGCTTTACTGAGAACTTTCCACTTTGTTAACATATATGGTTTTTACCTGTAGTTCACTACAGTTGCATAACTTTCTCTAACAGCTAAACATATTTAGTATGTACATGATAGCTAGTTTACCAAATGTGTTCAGTACATCTTGTTAACTAAACCTGTTCAGTACTTGCTCAGTAGCTAGTGTTAA